CTCAGATGTGATTATCCCATGGGGAGCTGGTTTGGTATTTAAGAAGATTAAGTTCTTCTCTCCCTGTTATGATTTGAGGGGTACTGGAGAAGTTCATCTGCCTCCAAATCTTTTCAGACTGTCTGAAGCTTGCAATTCACTCCTTTGGGTGAAGACTTTGCTTTCTCTTGGTATGGAAATTTCAAATGCAAATTTAACTGTGGGAGGAGCAACATAAGCATATATTAATTATAAGTCTTTTAGTGTGTCATTTTGTAAGACCTACATTCCTCTGCGACTGAAAATTAGATGGAAGAGAACCCAGAGGGAGTAGGAGACTTCTTGGCAAAGGGGGAACAAAGAGAAATTATTTTGAAATAGGACATGGTCTGGGGAAATATAGGCTTGCCTATGATGTTCTGGGTAGCTAGAAGCAGCATAAGACCACTTGATTCCATGGATAGAGTGCTTGGTGGAAACACAAACTTTACTCAGTTTTTAGCTTTGCCAAAGAAGCCCTTGTCCTATAGATTTTGTTTTTTAATCCTAGAAAGGATTTCACTTTCTTTGGCACTTTGTCCATGCCGTTAGAATGAAGGAGAATCTGAAGGAACGAGCTGCTACATTTCTGTCCATAAACAGATGGAAGGCAGATTGCTTTATCCCAAGCCAACAATCCAGTTTCTAGTTGACTTTGTCAGCAGGTGCCATGTTTCAAGAAACAAAATACTTATCCTCATACCCTACTGGCAAACCACAGTGGATTCAGATAGCTTTTAATATTTGATTCACTGAGGGGTGCCAGTAGGACAAGCCAACTCCTAGACCCTATATTCAGACACTTGTATTTGCCTGATTATGCATGTTACCACTGGACTGTAATGGAGCTGGGAGGGGTCAAGGCAAGGACATTACTCCAATGCAGTTACCTACCCATCAAAACACATTAGAAAGGGAGAAGCAGGTGTGTTACTGTGCTTGGAAGAAAGATTTTCCTAATATTCAAATAAAAAAGAAACTTTATCAGCTTAAATAGTCTGGCTAAGTCAGCCTGGCATTTATGGAATGTGTTATAAAATGGAAAAGGGAGAGTTGTGATAAGAGGCAATATTAGAATGGAAACTGCCTAACAAGTCCAAAGAGAAAGCATTGCTAAATGGAGACCAATGGTTTAGTGGGAAGAGCCCCGGAATTGGAGTAATCAGAGGTCTGAGTTGAAATACCAACCCTAGTATTTACTAGTTGTATTACCATCAGGAAGTCATTCAACTATGCTAAGCATCAGTTTCCTCATTTGTCAAATAGGGATTAAAAAAAATACTCATAGTACCAATCTATAGTATATATAGTACCTAATCTATTGTGAGGTCAAAATGAGATATACATATAAAATAATATAAATTTCAATTATCTTTTATTTGGATCTTTATATTCCTATATTATTTTATTTTATGCCCACATGAGAAGAATTTTCCTCTCTTTTATGAACTTACTTTAAATAAAGCATTGTTAATATTTACTAAAAGGTTCTAGATTCTAGAACAGAGGTGGGGAACCTGCAGCCTTGAGACTCATGTGGCCCTCTAAGTTCTCAAATGCAGCCCTTTTACTGACTGAAAACTTCACAGGACAAATCCCCTTAATAAGAGGATTTGCTCAGTAAAACTTGGACATAGTCAAAAGGTCACACCCAAGGACCTATAAAGCCACATGTGGCCTCAAGGCCACAGGTTCCCACCCCTGCAATATCCAAGAATGCTTATGCCAATGAGTGAGTTACCTCAAGTTTGAGAATATTTCTGAATTTGGGATTATTCCTTTTTGATCCATTTGGGACCATTGACCTTACTATACTTATTCTGTCTGGAAATAGATGCTCTATTTGCTAAACACCCATCTATATATACAGCTGTAGCATCTTAATCATAGCTAATGTCTATTTGGTTCTTTATGGTTGTGGTGCACCATATATACATTATCCAGTATGATGTGGAGAAAGCAAGGCAGATTTTATTATCCCCATTTTACAGTTGAGGAAACAGATTCAAAGGTAAATAATTTACTTGAGATGACACAAAATTGGATTAAAAAGAAAAAGAAAAAAAGAGAAAGGAGTCTCAATCCCAAAGCCTCTGACTCCAGGTCTAGATTTTTTCTGTGATTACTCTACTTATTCCTGTGTCAATGAGAACTTTTATTGCAAGTGAGAGAGGGTAATATTTAAATGCTATGCTATAAGGTCTTGTAGTAATCAATATTTCCTAACAAAAACCATGGATAAGATTAAATTGAAATAAACTGAAGATGCCAAAGATGTTTCTCAAAATCCAGAGCAAACAGAAAAGTAGAGTGCCAACCACCTAGCACAGTGACTTGGATATAGAAGACTCTTGAGAAACGTTTGTCGAATGTTTTTGAATAGAAATGGATTACATCTGAAAAGGCGCTGGAGAAGAGTGGAGATTATATGAGTGGATCAAGTGGTTCTAGAGCTAAATAACATGAACATATAAAGATGAAATAGTACATATATAATCTGGTTTGAGAAGTAACTTGTAGTGGAATAATGGTCTGGTATTGCTTTCAAGAATAAACAAATGAGGGGCAGTTAGGTGGTGCAGTGGATAGAGCACTGGCCCTGGAGTCAGGAGGACCTGAGTTCAAATCCAGCCTCAGACCAAACGCTTGACACTTAGCTGTGTGACCCTGGGCAAGTTGCTTAACCCCAATTGCCTAAAAAAAAAAGAAGAAACAAATGAAGGAAAAATCATTTACTAGATGCTTACTTTGTGTCAGGCACTGTGCAAAGTGTGATGAGGATACAAATATATAGCAAATATAGGCCCTGCCTTCAAGGAGTTTACATCCTAATGGAGGAGACAACACATAAAAGAGTGGTGAGCAGAAGGGACATACTAGTTCAAAAATTTAGAAAGAAGACCTTGATTCATACTTTCTCCCTCACACACACTATCTATGAGACCTCAGGCAAGTTGCTCATCCTTTAAGTGCCTCCGGCAACTGTCAGACTTCAAATTTCAGATGAATTATTAATTGACACTAGAGGAGGACATCTTTGACTCTGGAAACTCCCTGTGAGGATGAAATAACTGGTAGTTTGGACCAAAGAAAATGTGATGCAGCCATGACAGTGAAGTAAAAACATATTGTTCAAAGGTAGATCTGCCTCTATTGTTTGAGCTACAAATCAGACACTGCTCCTCCCGGGGCGTGGTGGCATTAAAATTAATATGTGAACCTGATCTGTTCCCTTCATCTAGAGACTGACAGATTTGAAAAGCTGACTTGTCAAATTCCAGGCCAGGACTGTTCCATGGGTCCCGGGTCTTTCCATGTTCCTGGATGTCACATACCCATCTTTGGCCCCAGGATTGAGACCCAAAGAGCACAATCTTATCTGTGGGAAAAAGAAAGGTGGGAGAAAGTTGATCAGAATAAGCATTGTAAATAGATAAAAATTTTAACATATGGTATTTTATTTTTCCCCAGTTACATTTTAAAGCAATATTTAACATTTTTTTTGAGTTCCAAATTCTCTCCCTCTCTCCCCTCCCCTTCCGTGATGTTGTAAACAATCAGATATAGGTTATACATGTACAATCCTGTAAAACATTTCCGTATTAGTCATTTTGTACAAGAAGACTTGAAGAAAAAATGAAAGAGTGAAAATATCGTGTATCAGATAATATCAAACAAGTATCAAACACAAAAAGCATGCATTCAGACAATATCAGTTCTTTCTCTGGAGGCAGATAGTATGCTTCATCAAGAATCCTTTGGGATTTTCTTGGATCATTGTATTGCTGAGAATAACTATCATTTCATCATATAATATTGTCACTACTGTGTACAATGTTCTGGTTTGGCTCACTTTACCTTGCATCAGCTCATGTAAGTTTTTCCAGGTTTTTTTTTTTCTGAAATAATCCTGTTGTCATTTCTTAGAGCACAATAATATTCCATCACAATCGTATACTACAGCTTGTCTATCCATTCCCCAATTGATGGTCATCCCTTAGATTTCCAAATCTTAGCCACCACAAAATAAGCTGCTATAAATAGTAAATTGATATTATTAAGAATAAGTAATTCACATAGAGAGTTAAGAAAGTCTTTTTTTTTAAATGGAGGAGGTAGTGATGCATATGCTTTGTTTCAAGAAATTGAACCTAAAATAATCAACCAATATACATTTATCAAATTCCTTTTATGTGCCTGGAATTGGCTTGTGTTAGTCAATAAGGATACAAAGACATCACTAAGTAGTCTCTGTCCTCAAGGGCATACATTCTATAAGAGGAGGCAGAATGTATGTGTGTGTATGTCTGTAAGAAGTAAATACAAATTATGTCGATGGGGATCGGATGGGGGGAGGTTATGGCTGCAAGGATCAGGAAAAGCTTCATTGAGAAATGTGAGATATTAACAAAAAAGGGAAGGAGGATGGATTATAGTTTTACTAGATGAATGAGTCATAAGGAAGGATGTTTGGTGATAGGAAAGAGAGGAAAGTGAGATGATGAGTGGTCAGGTGGGTAAGAGAGTATGTGGTAGTATTTTACAGCTGGAGTTGGGAAGAAGAACAGACACTCAAAATTAGGGAAAGAACAGGAGAAAGCCATGTCAGTGTCAGGGTGAATGCTATACTTGATGTAAAATTTGAATACATCTTTATAAAGTTGCAAATGTAAAGGTTCCTAGGATACTGAATATGTTCTCTTCATAAATAAAAGCTTTCTTCTGTCAGTGAACTGTCTTTACGTGGTAAGTCAAGTTTTGTGGAATGGAAGTGGACTCCCTTGTGAAAAAAGAAAAGTTGTAATTAGAAACAGCTGATTTTCAACTCCTTTCCTTTGCTGTGGGTATAATTTAGCATCAGACCACTCCAAAAAACAGATGCCACTCAACTCCACCTCTGGGGCCAGCATATAATTCCCCAAACAAACTATAATCAGAGGTCCAATGTTGCCTGTGCAGCTCTTTTTTGTTCTCTTTTGCAGCTGAAATGAACACCATCAATGAGAGCACGGAGATACTCCGCCTTAGCCCAAACATAGAGAAAAAAGCAGAAGTTTGCGAGCGCTCCTGTGAAGAGCTAGGCAGCATGATCAATGAAATATCAGGGCTACACAGCCTGGTCAACAGCCTCAGAGAAAATCTAAATAAAGTGGTAAGTTCTGCTAAAATTAAGCTAAAGTAGAGAAACATGGAACTATTTGGTTTAATGGAAACATCGTCTGTTCTGGAGTCAGAGGATCTGAGTCAAATCTTCCCTCTTGTGTTTATTCCCTGTGAGATCTTGAGCAAGTCACTTGTAATCTCTGGGTCTCAGTTTTCTTACCTAAAAAATGAGGGAGTTTGAATTTAGATGGCCTATGAGGAGACTTTTTCATCTCCAAACCTCTGATTGTTTGGTAATAGAAGAGTATTTCCTTAAACTAAGCGGAATGGTGGCAGTGTGTGTAGCTGGAGGTATATCTGTTGATTCTTTTTGTTGGGCTGGGAAATCTGGTCACGAGGTAGCACTTAGGGCCAAATTGAAATAGTTTCCCTACAGATTCCAAATTGCATATTTGACAGATGGTTGTTCAAAGAGTTCTCTTTGTTTGTTTGAGTGCCATTTGATGTATGAATCCATTGACAAGAGAATGGAACATGAAAAGATTTGCAAATTCTCTCAAATTCCATCTGTCTTATGTCCAGATGGAGGCTCTGTTTTAAAGAATATATGATATTTGTAGGAGATGTGGCAACATTCTTTGGCTTAGTGGCTGATTGTCTGGGACCTGAGTGGAATTAAAGAAGGGAAGCGAGAAAAATAAGTTAGTGAGAAAGAATTATATAGCTCTTTACAAGTGATAAAAGGCATCAGGATCTAGATTTAAATTTAGACATAATGAATACCTGTAGCAAGTTTATTTCCACACAGTAATAGAGACCACGGTATTAATGGGAGTATAATAAGAGTGAACAAGAACAGAGATGGGACATCTGGGTCTGGTTATGCAGTGACATTTTGGGGAAAAGCAAGGGAAGAGAAACATCTGTGAGGGTTACGTGGCTGGGAAGAGATTGTACTGGAGCATAAGAGATGTCTTGTGTTCGGATTCTAAATCAGAATTATACAGGCCTAACTCTGAGGTAATCCTCACTACTTCTTCCTGTGCAATAGCAAGCCCACAAGTGCTTAGTCTTTATATTATTCTGGCTCTCTAGAGGATGTAATAGAGAGATAAAGTGTGAGGCCATGAAAAAGAGCAGTGCTAGGGGTATTCTGGGGTGGAAAAATTAATCTGGCCTTCTTGTAGCACCAAGCAGTTCAAGGAGAAGTCTTCACCCATCCCTTCCGCCAACTATTTAGGGAGTCTTTAAATTTTCCATTTGGGAAATTCATTCTCATTTTAAAGCTGGATCTGGATTTCGGAAATGAAGACTATATTGCTTCCATTCCTATGATCTGTTGCTTCCATTATTAGAGGAATGGCTTTTGGATCTCTCTGCATCTGCCTAGAGGAAGTATCTGTCATGAATAGCTAAAAATAGGAACATTTCTCATTAGAGTAGAAAGCATGGATAATCCTGCACCAAAGCAAAGCAAAAGTTGGACAGTGGCTGCTGATGTATGTAGTGCTGGGACAAATCCACAAAGCATAACGTGTCCTTTCCTCCGGTGCATTCCCATATCAAGAGCTGTCTTTAAGGGGGCATGCATTTAAAGCAGACTAGCCAGGCAGATGGATCTAGGCTAGAAGGCATTCACACGCATTTACTCTGATGATATTGTTGTTGGTGGTAAGCTAGTTTTTCCTTTTCTTTCGTTGTTAGCATAAACCATGAGCCTCTTCTGTATATCCTCTCCCACTACCTTCTGGAATCTCAGCCCAATGGGGGCTGCCTTCATCTGTTTGGCTCATCAGCTAAAACCATTGAGCAGAAAAGAGAAAACAAAGTTTAGCTTTAATTGGGTGTTGTCAAATTGGCAGAGCATCAAGATGTGACGGGTACAAGTGGATACTGCCTGTGTAGCTTAGGAAAATACTTAGGGCTAATTTTATTGTAGTAATAGTAGCAGTAGAAGTTATAGTAGTAATACTAGAAGAGTACTAGTAGTATTAAGTAATTGAAGTAATAGGTAGTAGTAGTAGAAGTTGTAGTAGTAGTAGAATAGTACTAGTAGTATTAAGCAGTAAAAGTAGTAGTAAATAGTAGTAGTGGAAGAATGTTGCCACATCTCCTACAAATGCCATATACTCTTTAAAACAGAGCCTCCATCTGGACATAAGACAGATGGAATTTGAGAGAATTTGCAAACCTTTTCATGTTCCATTCTCTTGTAACAGAAGTGATAATAAGTACTAGTACTGCTAATAGTAGTGAAATAGCAGTAGCAGCAATAGAAATAGCTATACTAGTAGAATAGTAATAGTGGTATTAAGTAGTAGAAGTAATAGTAAGTACTAATACTAGTAGTAGAAGCAGTCACAGGAGGAGGAGTAGAAATGGTTGTAGTAGTAGTAGTAGAATAGTAGTAGTATTAAGTAGTAGAAGTAGTATGTAGCAGTAGTAGTTGTTGTTGTGGTAATAGTAGTAAGTATTTATATAGTTCTTTGTGTTTCTTCAACTTTGATTACTTTTCATCTTTACTAGCCTAGAGTCATCTATCACAAAATGGTATAGATATGTGCTTCATGTTTCTTAATAATAACAATAACAGTAACAGTCGGTAATATAGTGCTTTAAGGTTTGCAAAGGTTTACCTTACCTACATTATTATCTCATTTGCACTTATTTAAAGGAATAAATAGTTTACCAAAAACCAGAATGTTATCATTAAGATGTCTTAATACTGACTTGGAATTGAACCCTGGACTTCACTTGTGTCTTTTGCCTGGGGGTGTTTTTACTTTTCTAGACAAATGATAATCAAGTTCTCTGGGAACTCGTTGGTGTCCCTCTAAAGGTGAGGAACCAGACGGCATGTTGGCAAGATGGCCGTTTCTTTCAAGATAATGAGACCTGGGTAGTGGACAGTTGTACTAAATGTACTTGCAAGGTAAGAATTTGGAAGCACTTTTCCTCCATGAGATGGAGAAAGGAGGAAGAGAGAGAGAGAGAGAGACAGAGACACAGAGACAGAGAGACAGAGATACAGAGAGTTGGTGGCAGATAATGACAGAAGTGAGGGGAAAAGAAATAAGGAAAGATGAGGAAGAGAGACAGAATGAGTAAGGAAAAGAGAGAAACAAAAGCATAACTCTCTGTCTACCCTTTTATAACCTGTAAGATACATGCTTATTCTTTGAATAATCAAAATGTAGTTATTTTGTAGGAAAACACTCTGTGACTATTGAAACAGGAATAAAGTACTCCTATAACATAGAAATGTGAGAGCTGACAAGAATCTAACCCCCTCATTTTTCAGGAACTTGAGGCGTAGAGGGCTTAAGTGACCTTTCCAAAGTCACAAAGCTAGTAAATAGGCTTAAACCTAGGTATTCTGAATACTTACTTTTCACATCCTTGTTTATGAATTTTCTTCTATGAGGAAATTTAAGCTTAGCATACTTTCTGGGAAAAGGCAAGACCCAGATTAGTTAACAGTTCATACAAGCAATTTAGCCCCTAATCTTCTTTCCCAACTTTGCCTGTTTGTCACTGTTTTGGATATTCATGCCACTTTTTTAAAACTAGTTTTTATTCTTTTTTCTTATCCTCTTTCCTAATCAAATGCTTGACATCTGCTCTTTCTTTCTGGACCAATAGGGAAGGTCAAGGGATAAAATGAACTAGAGAAAATCATCCTGCTTCTTGCTTCCTGTCAATTTTAGTCAGAAAGGCAGGGAAGAATGCACTTTTGTATCTTTCCTCTCCCTCGTAAGTGACTAGTAGTCATAGTGTTCTTTCCTTCCTTCCTTCCTTCCTTCCTTCCTTCCTTCCTTCCTTCCTTCCTTCCTTCCTTCCTTCCTTCCTTCCTTCCTTCTTTCATTCCTTTGCTGTTGCTATTTTGCAAAGGTTGTACTGTCTGTGTTTATAAAAATGTTTACCAGCAGAAACTAATGAAATTACTTTCTTTGTAGAAATTTAAAACAGTTTGCAGCCAAATCACCTGCCCAGCAGTAGCTTGTGCCAATCCCTCCTTTGTTGAAGGTGAATGTTGTCCTTCCTGCTCCCCTTGTGAGTATTACTACTCCAAATAGGAGGAATCAATTTTATGCAAATTAGAGGTAGCTGGTAGCACAATGGACAGATGCCTGACCTGGAGTCAAGAAGACCTAACTTCAATTTGATCTCAGATACTTATTAGCCATGTACCCTTGGCAAATCACTTAACCTCTTCTTTAGTTTCCTCAGCTGTAAAATGGAATAGAATAAGCAAAGAGTCAGACACTACTGAATGACTGAACAACCACAAAAGTGTGCCAGGAACTGGGTTAAGCACTTTAAAATATTATTTTATTTGATTCTTATAACAATTCTATGATGGTGGCTATTATTATCTCCATTTTACAGTTGGGGATACTACTATCTCTCAGGGTTATTGTGAAGATAAAATGAGATGATATTTATTTGTAAATATTTGTAAAGTGTCTTAAAACCTTAAAACAGTATATAAATGGTAGCTATTACTACTACTGCTACTACTACTACTATTAGTATATATATGTGTATATATATGTGTGTGTGTGTGTATATATATATATCTGTAACTGAAGATAAGAAGTTGGTATGGAAGAAAGGATGAAGAAAGTGAATGTAGAGGAATGAGCAAAAAAAATTCAGTCCCTAGGGACTATTGTGCTTTTTTTTTTTTAACAAATAAAGTAATATTTTTCATCAAGATACCTTGAAATCCTCCAAAGATAATGTCCACATAAATAGAATACTACTACTAATAATATCAGCTCACATTTATATAGCCATCACCAGTTATTACAATATGCTAGTCTCATAATAGCCCCCTAAGGTGGGTAGGATAAATATTATTCTCCCTTTTCCTTTCAGTTGAAGGTAGAGAGGCAAGAGTGCCTTGGTCAATATCCCACCGCCCATAAGTAGGGGATCTAAAATTTGAACCCAGGTCTCCTCTCACTATAATATGTTTCTATGAGAACATAATAAATTTGAAGAGGTATTTTCTAGGTTGAGTTTTCTAATTTTTCACTGCCTGTTTTTTAATGTTTCTTTTGATTTGCGATTAAAAGAATAAGGAACAAGGTTTCCCTGTGTCATGGCAAGATGGAGGATCTATTTTTGGACCTTTCTCCTCAAGTCTCTTCTGTTGTACTACCTTTTTTCTTACCACTGCCTTTTATATCTCCATTATTGGAATATCCTAGGCCCTGAGATTGATCTCTGATTGACTGGTCAAGGTACAAGGGTTGAGTGGGATTTCAGCATTGTGACCAGCTATCAGTGACACTGATTTGAACTTGGATTCTGATTTCAAAGTCAATGTTTTGTTTTCCACTGTAGCCTGCTACCCATGATATTGGTCTTTTATCATTCCTAGGATGGTTTCTGTATAGGACAATATATTTTCCAGAAAGGGGAAGAAATGTTTTGTTTCATCAATTAGTAAATAATGTATTTTTTAGGTTCATTCATTATAATGATATCCAACCAGGGAGCATGCTGGTAAATGTTTAACAGCTAGGTCTCTGAAAAAATTATACATGACACATTGTAAGATTTAATCTGCAGTATTAAGATTTTCTCCATCTTTTTTAAGAATTCTAGACAATTAACAAAACAATAACCCAAGTTCTGATGTGTAGGATTTGTCCAATTCCAAGGAGTTAATGCCCACACTGAAAATCTAACAGTTGTCTCCTGTGAGCTGATTCTGGCTCACCCCGGAATCCGAACACATTTTTAAAAATCATTGTTGTTCAGTTAAATTCTAGTAATTAAAAAAAAGCACCTATTAAATGTGAGACACTGTATCATTGCTGTGCTCAGATGACCCAACTATCCATGAAAGTGAGACCTGGACTTTAGTATATTTTATTTTCTCTTATCACCCAGTCAACGACAATGAAGAAGGCTGGTCCCCATGGGCTGAATGGACAGAATGCTCTGTCACATGTGGTTCAGGAACACAACAGAGAGGACGCTCTTGTGATGTCACCAGCAACACGTGTCTGGGACCCTCTATCCAGACAAGAATGTGCAGCCTTGGCAAATGTGACAACCGAAGTAAGTGGTGGAGGGTTCGGCTCTTGGAAAGCCCCGGTTTCCTTTATTGCTGTTACCTTGTATGTCAACAAGTTCAGACCATTCTTTTTCAAGCTTGCTGGTGTGCTTCTAGCTCTTTTTGTTATAGAAATGACATGCCTTCTGATTGCTTTGTTTCTGATTGCTTATTATAGTTACACTCTTCACTGCTGAGAAATCTTTTCCAGGTTAATCCCTAGAATGTTAACAATTTAGAAGGTTAAGCTTTTCCTTATTCTCATTGTAGGTAATGTTTCACTTCCTTCCTGGATTCCAACTTTGAAATATCACTGAGTTAACAAGTCAAACATCTGGACTGGGGTTAGGTCCTCTGGGTGAACTTTAGTTATTTTCTTCCTTATTTAAACAACATAGGATATTAATCTCCTTCTGCTATGTTTCTGCATCTGTTAGGACGGCAAGATGGTGGCTGGAGTCACTGGTCTCCTTGGTCTTCCTGCTCTGTAACCTGTGGATTGGGTAACATCACTCGTATCCGCCTCTGCAATTCCCCTGTCCCACAGCTGGGAGGAAAGAATTGTAAAGGAAGCGGACGTGAGACAAAAGAATGTGAGAAGTCCCCTTGTCCAAGTAAGTCTGTATGAACAGCAGCACCCTACTGAGTTTCCTTGTATGTGGTATTGCCAGTTAAAGGATTGCTATGGACACGAGCTGATAGAAAGAAGATATTCATGCCAGAGTCTATTTTCAAAACTAGCCCAGCTTGAATAAAATAAGCACCAGAAACATTTTCATTGAAATAGAAAATTCTGTACAGCCATCTTGGCATGGTTTGCTTTTGGAACTTGGCCTTCCAGATCGATGGCGATTGCCTGGGCTCAACATTGATTTTGAATGGCTTAGCTCTGATTTCACTGGTCTTTTGCAAAGACTTCAGTAAAAAATTAAAACAAAACAAGCAACCCCCTTAAATTGTAAAGGTAACTACAGTAGTGAATTCTTGAACTAACCAATGGTTTAAAGTTATGTAACATAAAAAACCAAAATCTATTTTTCCTTCTCTCTTCCTTCTCAATTATATTGTAAGGGGTGGGGTTCATAAAAGGCAGGGTTACTCTGAACAGCTTTGCCCGACTTCAAGAAAATCTTTTTGATAAAAGATGAAATATGATCAAGAAAACAGGGCCTTGTTATCTTCTTTATAGACGAATTATTTCCTGTGCAAAATGCCCAATTGCAATCTTTCTTTAAATGACGAGCTCCCTTCGTAGTTTGATTCTCATGTGACTTTTCAGAAACATGAAGTTGTGTTGTAAGAAGAACAAATCAGTAGAGCTAAAATCAGAAGACCTAAGTTAAAATCCTACCTTTCTTACTAGCTGTTTGACCTCGGGCAAGTCATCTCATACTTGGGGGGATTCAGTTTTCTCATCTGTAAAATGGATTACATGTAAAATGGACTGCTTAACCTTGCAGGTACCTTCTAGTTTTATATATGAGGTCCTCTGAGTATATATGAAGTGAGCTAAATTGGTAATACAATAGCCCTCTATAAAATCAGGAATATTTTTCTATGAAGTTAAAAATAATTCTCTGAAATACAGCCATCTTTAAAACTTTATACACTTTATCTCAAAATCATAGAATTATTTCAACTGACAAGGACTCCAAGGAGCCCTTCTACCAAATACCTGGCTAATGATCACCCGGGCTTGAAGATCTCAAGAAGTGCAACCTACAACCTCCCGGACATTTTATTATACTTTTTTTTGTTGTTGTTAATTCAGTTGTGTCTGAGTCTCTGTGACCCCATGGACCCATATGCCAGGCCCTTCTGTCTTCCACTATCTCTCAAAGTCTATCCAAGTTCATGTCATTGTTTCTAGGACACTAACGATCTATCTCATCCTCTTCTATCCCCTTTTCCTTTTGCCTTCAACCTTTCCCATTATCAGGGTTTTTTCCAATGAGTCCTCTCTTCTCATTTAGATATTTGTGAAATTTGTAACTAGAGTCACAATCATCCTCCTTCTTTCCATTTCTTCTTGTCCTAAAGAATATAATAGTTCTTTCATATGAAAGGCCTTCAAGCTCTTAAATATAGTTATCATATCTATGTTTTGCTAATCAGCATCAAACTAAAAATGGAATTAAATCTATATTCCCCAGGAAGTTAATAATAATAATAACACATTTATGGAGTATTTTCAGGTTCACAAAGAACTTTCTTGTTAACAATTCTGAAGGCAGGCTATATAAGTACTACTATAACCATTTTACAGATATGAAAATATTCTCAAAATGTTAAATAAAATATCCATGGTCACACAGAATAAGACAGAAATATCCCCCCCCCAATTTTCCTCTACTTATTTACACATATTTTCACACACACACATATATATGATGTCTGCCTGAGTAAAAGATAAGGGCCTTGGGGGCAAAGATTTTTAAATTTTGTCTTTGTATTTCTAATAACCCAGCACAGTGTAAACACTCAGTGCCACATAGAAAGCATTTAATACATTTGTGTTTTTTTTTTCTTTTTTGCTCGTTTGTAGGTACTTTTCACCTCACTAATCTTTAACTCCGCTTTCAATTATAGTTAATGGTCGATGGAGTCCATGGTCTCCCTGGTCTGCATGCTCTGTCACATGTGCAGGAGGAATTCGTGAGAGATCCCGGGTCTGTAATAATCCTGAACCACAGTATGGAGGAAAGGATTGCGTGGGAGATGTCAAAGAACACCAGATGTGCAACAAACGGAGCTGTCCCGTTGGTATGCATGAAGTAATCAATGCTTCTGTTCTGATTTGGCAGCGTGTGAACTTTGACTCTGTCTTTGGCTGGCCATGATCTAGATGCTCAGATGCAGGAATTACAACCAGTGTGGTCTGAACTATAGCCATATGGTAGCCCATCACACAAAATGAAGCTTCTGAATAGAGTCAATATGCCTTTATCTTATGTTTACTTTAACGTGATTAGTATTTGGAATATTAAAGAAAAAATCCACGTTGCTCCTGTCTTCACAGATGGATGTTTATCCAATCCTTGTTTTCCTGGAGCAGAATGTAATAGTTTCCCTGATGGCTCTTGGTCATGTGGGTCTTGCCCAGCTGGCTATCTGGGGAATGGCACTCATTGTGAAGACCTTGATGAAGTAGGTGCTCTTTCTGGGCTATCATATCCCAAGACATTGTTTTTCTCCTTCAGGATAAAGTCCAGGCATCATTGGAAGATCAGAGAGCTCAACAAACCCGTTATTTTGCTTGTTTCCCTACAGTGCGCAGTTGTCACAGATGTCTGCTTCCTATCCAATAAGGTTCACCGCTGTGTCAACACCAAGCCAGGCTTCCACTGCCTGCCATGCCCCCCACGCTACAAAGGAACTCAGCCTTTTGGGGTGGGGCTGGAGGCAGCCAGAACAGAAAAGCAAGTAAGTAATGTGCATGTGAGGTCAGTGGGCAAGAGATCAGCTGTGTAAACTTAGGGTGGAGCACTTTCTAATGGCAACTCAGCCAAGAGTCACAAGGAAAGGAGAGTGGGGGAGTATCTATTCTCAGATCAGTTGGGAAGGAAATGCACCTTCTGTTTGTGGGCTGATTGGCACAGGCTGCATTCTTCACTTAGGACAGCACTTACTGTAAAATTATTGCTGAGATTTTGGCCTTTCCTACTCTTGGACAACGAACAAATCAAGGAAATATCACAGTTAGGGAGTGAGACTTAATTGGGGAAGTATAATGTAACCCTAAAAATGCAGTTTCACAATGTCAGTAAAACAAAATATGCAGAAACATCAGAGGCAAGGCTTGATCTGATCTTTTGAGCTACTAATCTAGCTACTAATTTATCTACTACACTACAGTCTCTCTATTGTCTTATAGCCTGTTCTAAATACATGTTAGCTTTATTTAGTGTAATAAATTAATGTATTATTTAAGTTGGTGGGGGGTGGGGAGTAGTGCAAATTTCTGTAATTTATGTCTACTGGATTGTCAAACATGGATGCAGCCAGCAACACTCCCAAGTGTAGCCCAGACCAGATTAAAATTTAATTTAGAAATACTAAAATAAATAATAATACCATAAATCATAGATAATATTTCATTTTAAAATTAAATCAATTTACACCACATAGGGATCTTTATCTAAGTTTTAGCAGTCCCTATTTCTCTTTGAGTTTGACACTGCTGATGTGGACTTTAGAATATTCCTGTTTAGAAATGTGTACGTGGGGAGGAGGAGAAGTATGGAGGGGTCTGGAGTGGGATAGAAAGGCTTAAAAATAAGATGGATTAGTATTTCTAGGTTGCTTGCTACTTACAAGGAGGTGCAGATTAGCTATAGCAAGCCAGAAGAATAAAGACTTCTGGTTACATGAATTCTGCTGGCTTTGTGTAGTCAACCATAGCCTTGCCCACATTTTAAAAATTCAATGCCTTATATGTCTCATGTATCTCCCTCACAGTGCCTCATCCACAGAGGCACTCAGTGGATGTTGGAGACTGAAATTCAGATATCTGGTATTTCAGGTTTGTGAACCTGAAAACCCATGCAAAGACAAGACTCACAACTGCCATATGCATGCAGAATGCATTTACTTGGGTCATTTCAGTGACCCAATGTACAAGTGTGAATGCAAGACTGGCTATGCTGGTGATGGGCTCATCTGTGGGGAGGACTCCGATCTGGATGGCTGGCCCAATAAAAACCTTGTCTGTGCAACAAATGCTACATATCACTGCATTAAGGTAAGTGGGAAGATATATGAGTTGTGGTTAAGAAATGAAATTTTGTATGTTTGTGTGTGTGTGTGTGTGTGTGGCTTATGGAAGCCAGTTTTGCTGCTCTATCGACGTAATGGATCATTGTAACATAAGGAGGAAGGGAGCAAGAATTTATTATGCACCAGCTATGTGCCAGACACTGTGTTAGATGTTTTACAAATATGATCTCATTTGATCCTCACAATAACCCTGGGAAGTAGGTGCTATTATTATTCCCATTTAAAATTTGAGGAAATTTAGGCAGATACAGGTTAAGAGACTTGTTCAAGGTCACATAGCTAGAAAGTATCTGAAACTGGATTCAAACGTCTATCTTCTTGATTCCAGGCCAAATATTCTTTCAACTGGGCCACCTAGCTGTTTAAGTTGTCATTCTTATACCATTTCTTTATCAGGCCAACGGGGTCATGATACTTCTGGGGAATAAAATTCATCTGTCTATAAAAAATACATAGTAGGGATAAATACATAACTAGGTATAAATATCCATCTTTCCCCTTTTATAACACAAGTGGATTTTAAACAATTTTATTTCACAAAAAAGGTATGTGCACAAATGTACACAGATAGTAAATGCTTACAAATACATCATGTATATTACATCCGCATGCCTATATGCTCACATACTTAAATTGATCTCATTGCTTTTGCAATAAATTGCAGATTGCAACCCATGCACTCCTGTCCAGCCTGTACAACTCATATGGGTGTATGCATATATGTATGCGTATCTATACATACTTGCAAAGACACAAAAACTTATGCACACAGAGAAAAAGAGACAAAGGCACGGAGAAAATTAAAGGGGAAATTGATGCCCCTAAGATCATCTGTTAACTGCACAGAGCCCATGCTCACTGGCCTTTGCTTGCCGATGCTGATCTAGTTAATCTATGAAATTTCAAGTCCCTCATATGTAAAACAAAGGAACTGGAGTTGATGGTGGACAACCACCACCACCACCATTACCATAGCAACAACAGCAACAATAACATTTATATATCATTTTAAATTTAGCAAAGAGCTTTGCTTCCAGTGTCAAATCTACAAACCTATGATAGAAGATCTTGGCAAAGTGGATAGATTATTATATTTGAATTTAAGGAGACCTGAAGTCAAATGCCACTTCAGACACTACCTAGTTATGTGACCCTGTACTAGTCACCCAATCTCTCTCAGCCCTGGCTTTCTCATCTCATGGGGATCATACTAATACCTACAACAGGGTTGTTATGAGGATTAAGTAAAACAATACATTTAAAACTTTCTTAAGGTACTGAATAAATATGAGGTATTGTTATAATATTTATGAACATTACTCTCCTCGCAAGAGCCTTATGAGATAGATTATTATTTTCATTTTACAGATGATTAAACTGAGGTTCATAATAGAGAAGTGATTTGGCCCAAGCCACATAGCTAGTAACTAGAAGTTCTAGGAACTGAATTCATTGGGTTCCACATCCTGTGCTCTTTCTTCACCAAGTTGCAAGCAGAGTGGAATCCTTAGTGTCTTAGAACCACTTTAAAAAATGAGGGTGCAAGTTTTACAAATACCCATTTTTGCTCCAATTTATCTAGCTCTTCCTCAGCATTCCCATGACCAATGCATAGTAGAACTAACATTTTTGATTATTCACCTGGAAAATGCATTGTCCTTTTCCAAAGATGGATAGGTGAGTGATTATTGCACAATTCTGGTGCATAGTAAACATTTGAAAAATATTTATTGAATATCTGACAATTCACATGAAATCTTTAGTTATAATTTGAACAGATTATGATCAGTGCCCCAGGCACAAAATAGACCAGTAAGTACAACTTGTTCTTTTTTTTTTTTTTTTTTTTGCCTTTCAATAGTTTTATTGAAAGGTCACTTCCTTAGTACCAGAACATTAAGGTACTTTGTTAGGTTACTTCAGCCAACTTAAGTTTGCATTGATGAATTAGAAAGGAAATTCTTCAATGAATCAGGTGTTTAGGAGCAACTGAAGAGTGCAAAATGAAGCATAAGACATATGAGACATGCTGTGGTTCTTTGGTTTATCTTTAAAGGGAAGTTTTTTTCCCCACAACATGATGTCAAAAGGAAATTTGAACTCTAGTTATAGCTATTGTGGAAGTTAAGCTATATATTGCACTGATTAACTATATGCTTTCCCAACTCTATGTCAATTTAGATTCATTGACCTACAATTAGCCTTAAGTGCTCTACCCATCACATAATTAGTCAATTAAATTGCTGCTTACTTGAATCTGGATAGACAACTCACTTTAGTCTAAGTTGAATGTTACAGGGGCATTACAACAATAGCATACCCCATATATACTGATTTTAAATAGAAAGCTCTATATGAAAGGTACAGTTTCATACCAACTGTAATCCTTATTTAAAAGCTCTAGAGTGTTAGCATTAGCATATATTGCTGAGGTTTCAGATTGGCAGGCCATGAGAGTAAGTACAACTTATTCTTCCAATGAGAGCTTTGCCCAGTCAGCCCCTGAGGATGTCTTTTATTTTTTTTCCCCATCTCTGTAGTCAGTTAATCAATGAACATTTATTAAATGTCTACTATATAACAGATACTATATGAAGCACTGGAGACAAAGAAAGGCAAAAGATAGCTCCCTTCCCAGGGGAATTGGCAATTGAAGGGGAGACAACAAGCAAACAATAAATATATATTCGGGATAAATTTGAAATAACCACCCAATAGAAGGTGTATAATTAAGGGTGATCAGGAATTGCTATAGCACTTCACATGAAAGAAAGAAAAAATGAATGAGTTCAAAAGTGCTAGAATATAATGACCATACACATAAGTAGCACACATTTGAATACTGACCACAGGCTAAGTATGGTAACACTTGCTCACTGCAGCTAAAAAGATTCTCTGGGTAACCTTTTCCACTTTCCTAGCTCTCTGGTTCTTTTGTTCTGCGTCATCTTTAATATCAATATACGCTCCTCTGACCCTGTTATCATGACATCTTCAAACATAATGGCTCAAGATAAAGCACCAGGAAGAGCTGCTTCTGATCAGAAAAATGATAACATGTTGAACACATTTGGAAGTGCTTGCCCTCTGAGGGTTTGCTGATGCCTATATTGACTTAATAGAAACAAGTGTGTTTTTGATGGTCACATTTTGAAAACAGCAAGTATTCTCAGGTGGTTCCTATCTGGAATTCATTTTGATTTGTCGATATGATCTTTGTCCCTTTTATTTATAGTCTTGCTCACTTGTAGGAATAACACAGAAAGGCAGAAAATAACTTTTTTGGATAATAATTCTAAGCTCCCATCTGAACATGCCCCTCCATCCAAACTATCTTTTTGTGGAAAATTGAAGTCCAACAGGGTTGCCAGTTTCGTTCTTTAGTATCTAATTTCGTAATCTAACATTGTGAGAAGGAAAAGGGAGACTGACCAAATACTTCTGAATGCTTTTAAAGAGAAAGTTCTTTATTTTCTTGTTTAGTGGGTTTTGGCAAACCCGTGGAGATTCACAACTTAGAAAATTAGATTACCCTTTGTCTCCACTCACCATTATAAGGCACATGATTTTAGGGGCAGAACTTGAAAAGAAATAGACTCATCATTTTGAAGGTTGGCAAATAACTCACATTCTTGTTCTTTCTATATAAAAGTTTCCTATTGAGAAGGCCTATCTGGCATCTCCTCTTCTTACTTACAAGGGTTGCTTTATTGAATTCATTTTATTGAACCCTGGAAATCTTCTGAAAATGATGACAATCACAGACTAAAGTTTGGAAGGGAATTTATAGGCCATTGAGTGTAATCCTTCATTTTATATAGGAAATTAAGGACTGAAAATATTAAATGACTTGCTGAAAGTCCTACAGGTATTACATGATAGAGGCAAGATTTAAACACAGATATTCTGATTTCAAACATGTTTGCAAAGTTGACTTAAATTTTTTTTTAAATAAAATTTCAGGATAACTGCCCCCACCTACCGAATTCTGGTCAGGAAGATTTTGACAAAGATGGCATTGGTGATGCTTGTGATACTGATGATGACAATGATGGTGTGGATGATGAGAAGGTAAGTTAATTCTCTTAGTTGCATTTGTAATCATTTGTCATAATATAGAAACTGTTTATTTTTAAAAATTATACAGTAATTACTTTGATGACTCTGCATTTTTACCTTAATTAAAAAAATCTTTCCAAATATCTCTCCATGCTCTCCCCTGAAATCCCATCTACTCTTGTGACTTCATTTGTCCTCCCCCGTCCATTTTTTTGTAGGGATAATTCCCAAGTTTCTATTTTCTACCCTTAGATTCTCAACAGAGTCCTGACCCCATGTGTCCAACTATCTGCTAAGTAGCACCCCATGGATACCCCACTGACATTTCAAATCAATAGACCCAAAACTAAACTCATCACCTCCTCCCTACATTCATGTCTCACCTTCCCCTGTAACTTCTCTAGTTGTGTTGGTGACACTACCTTTCTACCAATCACCCAGGCTTTTAACCATAACATTGTCTTAGGCTTTTCCCTAGACCTCATGCCTCACATCTATTCAGTTGTCTAGTACTATTGATTTTGGGTCTACAATATCTGCTATGACTGTTTCCTCTTTTCTGCACCCGTTAACATGGCAACCACCCTCACTCAGATTCTTGAATCTAATTGTCCAAATTACTTTCATAGCTTCCTGGACATCCTGTTTACACCCCTCTTTTTTTCTCTCTGTTCCACCCTGCATTCTCTGTTGGGAAATCTTTCTAATGTACCCATTTTATCTTGTCTTGATTAAACATAAATCTCAATGTGACACAATCTTTTTTATTTAGTTTGTAAGTTCCTTGAGTTCAGGACTGTCTTTTTTCCTTTTTTTATACTTAGCACAGGGCCTGGCACATAACGGGTGCTGGGTCTTTTTGTATTTTGTACCAGCGCACATGTTTTCAGTTTGTTATCCCTTATTTTTGCTGCATCCCACCTCCTTCTCCTGCCTTTTTTCCCCCTTAAATGGCCTTCCTTATACAACTTCTTATGCAAATAAGCCAAATGGGGTCACCTCTACATAGTCCTGCTCTGCTGCTTCATGGGGACATGGAGATGAATCTGAATTTTTTTTTTCTTTTTGGTGAGGCAATCGGGGTTAAGTGACTTGCCCAAGGTCACACAGCTAGTAGGTTTTAAGTGTCTGAGGCTGGATTTGAACTCAGGTCCTCCTGACTCCAAGGCCGGAGTTCTATCTACTGCACCACCTAGCTGCCCCTATGAATCTGGATTTTCAAAGGCTATGAAAGGACACAATCTTTGTCAGGTTTTACCATGTTAAAAAAAGCTTCAGAAACCATTTGGGGATTGATCAACCTAGCTAACTGCAAAGAGTAATCTAGTCATGAGGTGGCAAATTCTTCAGCCATAGTAACCCTCATAACAACAATCAATGTAATTCCCTAGGCGAAAATAGCTGTCATAGAAATCATGCCAAAGTTTCACATTTTTCGATTTAAATACTGCCTGTTAGAACCCTGCAGTGTGACATAGTGGGTAGAGAGCCAGTCTCACAGTCAGCAAAAACTTGGGTGATCCTGGGCAAGTCACTTAACTTCTCAGTTCACTAAGTACCTACCCATCTAAGACTATAAAGTGCAGACAAGGTCCTGACTTGTATCGGCAGAGAGAATGTCTTTATTTGGGAGCACCCTGTGCCAGTGGCATTACAAGTCCAGTTCCTCTCTGTCTAAACGTAAACTTCATTTTATATGATACCATAATTGACTCAATTGTGGCAAAGATAAATGAGTTAACACAGTATAATAGAGTTAAGAATTGTGTCCCTGAGTTTGACTTCAAGCATACCCATTATTAGACTGCACAAGAAGAACAATGAGATTTCTTAAATCATCGCTTTAACATGTCTTTGATGAGGTAACGCTCACTTCATTATTTTCATTTCTATTTTCTACCTGACAACAAATATGTTATAAAGAAAAATATGCAAAATAAAGGACTTTAATGCTCAACTGAGCAAAATATCAAATGAGATAATACTTGTAAAGCGCTAGGCACTTAGTGCCTGACACACAGTGGGGATCATACAAACGCTTGTTTTCTTTTCTTCTCTTCCCTTTCAATGCAAACACGCATGTCCAACTTTGCTCTGTTTTGTTTTCTCTTCAATTTTTTCCCTTTGGTTTTCTAGGACAATTGCCCTCTTCTCTTTAATCCCCGTCAATCTGATTATGACAAAGACGAGGTTGGAGATCGCTGCGATAACTGCCCGTATGTGCACAACCTGGCTCAGATTGACACTGACAATAATGGAGAGGGTGATGCTTGTTCTGTAGATATTGATGGAGATGGTAAGTTCTTTGTCTTTCTCGTTGCATTTCATGTATTAAAAAACGATAAAATGATCAACCTGATTAACCTTATAAAAACCCTACTCCAAGAACCCCTGGTTCTTATCTCCTTCCTTCCTTCTGTGGTGAATATCTTCAACCCTACTGAAACAGAAACGCAAAGTTGATGAAGTTTGCATACGCCCTCCCTAGTTTTCATTTTTTCACCTTCTATCCATTTTATAGTTTCTAGGGAACCAATACCCTCTTGCTCCAACCAAATCTGGCTTTAACAAGGAAAAGATCTGATAACAGTAACTTATGGTTTGTAGTTATATCTGTCCAAAACTACATACATTTCTTACATACGTGTGATGTGTGTACCTTGTAAAAGCATTTAAGCCATTATTAAGCAGACAGGACTGTTTTTCTTCTTTAGTAGGGGGCCTTCAGTGGCCCTGAAATTGTTCCACAGAAGCAGCTGCCTGCTCTATCTACCCAGTTACTATAAGGATTCACCATCAATAATATTAATGGACTTGTTTGGGGGCTTATCCATTCATGTGATATGTTCCACAAACTCACAGCTCTTCTTCAACCACTTTGCTTCCTATCTTACATCCTCTTTACTGTCTACTCTGTATGTGATCTTGCAATATTTATTGCATATTTGACATTCTAGCGATGAGGAGTGCATTACTTCTGGAAGCGCACAATTACACTTTGGGGGATGCCTTAACTACTAGAACCATTTTTCCTGATGTCAAGGGTGAACTTGCCTCTTTGCAATTTCTATTTCTTGCTCTTAATTCTGCCCTAGGGGACCAGAACAAGTCTAACACTTCTTCCATATGACAGCCCTTCAGATACTTGGGGACAGACATCATGGCCCCCTCCCCAAACCCCATGATCTTGTCTTGCTCAGGCTTACCATATCCAATTTCTTCAGCCAAAGCTTATCCATACTAACATGATGTCAAGGCCCTTCACCTTCCTGGTCACTCTCCTCAAGACACTCTCCTACATAGCAGTGTCCTTCCCAAAATCTGGGGCTCTGAACTGAACATCCCAGTCCACATCAGACAGGAGACAGAAAGACTGTTAGCTCCATGGTCTTGGACAGGATGTCTCTCATTCCTTGAATTTCACAGATAGTTTCTGAGATGGCTTATGAGTTAAAGATATCTATCAGTTGCATATAAGTGAGCTTCTCTCTACTCATATGTAAATTATTACTAGTATTCCTCTGCTTAATTAAGCGATTCCACTTGAAAACAGTTGAATACAGAATTGATACATGCAAAGTACTGTGGTATAACCAGAGGGAAAACATTTGCATTGTATACATTCACAGGATCTCAGGCCCATAGACTTAGAGCTATCAGGGTTCTTAGAAGTCATAGAATACAATCCCCTCACTTTGCAGATGAAGAAACTGAGGGACACAAAGATTAAATGACTTGCCCAGAATTGCAGTTGGTGAGTATCATATGTGGGATTTGAACACAGGTTTCTCAGACTCCTTATAGCTTACTACACTATATGCTATGCTATGCTGCCTTTCAAATTTTTGAAATTCTGGGAGGCACTGAGAGATCTATACATTGATATACTTATAAACATCTGAGTATGTTGACCTGGAAGACAATCTCTATTTATTGAGCGATCTCTACCAAACATATTCCAATCACAGCACATACTACTTTAACATACCCTCAACCAAACCATTCCCCCAAGCATCATCTAAATCACTCTGTCTGAACATGAATTTTCCATCTTTTGTATACGCAGTCTTTTTTTTTTTTTAATACACTCCACTCAGAAATCCAGGGTTCAGCTTTATAATATGTTTACTCTCTTGATTACAATCACCAGGAGAGCATTCCGGCAATCTTTTCTAGCCCAAGGGTAATCAATCCCCATGTACACCTTGGAGGCCTTTTCCACTCAGGCCCACGACTGCTGCCTCTTCAGTCTATCAGTGAGTTGAAGAAATATTATTACTGCCTTCAAGCATATGAAGAAACAGTCCCAGTGGAAGAAAGCTATCTGCACAGTCATAAAGCTAGTAAATGTCCAAGATATCACTTGAGCCTAGGATGCTATCCTAATACTATTTCCACTACAGCATGCTCATGGTAGCCTAGAAAGATTTTTTCCACTTCTGTGATTTCAAATGTTGTCTGAGTTCTGAAACTAGTTCCAAGCTCTCTTCAGCTACTCAGTCCCACATTTCCCAAGGATATTTCCAACTGTTTATATCAACAACATCTCAAATTCAGTATGGTTATGACAGAATTCCTCATCTTCCCCCTTAAATCCTTTTCCCATGGTCCTCTCCACTGTTGGCAACATTATGATCCTTTTTGTATGAAAAAAAAATTAGTGTTATCTTGGATGCCTTGCTGTCCTTTGGCTATTTTAGTCAATTGCCAATTCGTATTACTTATTTCTACACAATACAGCTTTTCCAGGAAAGTAACATCATTTATTAAATTTCCTGAAACAAAAGACTAGAAAGAAAATCTGGCAAAGCTTTGCCATTGGTATTTTCCCACTAGCAAATGTTAAAATAATGTAATATCCTGCAGAAGTCATGGAGTTTCAAGGAGATAATCAATTGGTCATACAAGTTGGAATCCCCAAAGGTGTGCCTTGTAAAGACACTTACTCAAAGACTATTCATTATGGTTTATTATTCAGAAATCCCCAAGAGTAGGCTCTATTTTTTTAAAATATGAAAATTCTAAGCAATTTCCAGAGAGAAATATAATTCATGCTACTTGATAAATCCAAATACTTGCACATATGATCATATACTAGGTCATTTTCTTATTGAAGACAAAAAAAACCCTACTGAAACTGATTCAAGGAATAGGAAAAAAATGCAGCTTTTCCCTAAATTCAATATGCTTCCACATCTTTCTTTGGTCATCTGCAGATGTTTTTAATGAAAGAGACAATTGTCCCTATGTCTACAATACTGACCAAAGGGACACTGATGGTGATGGAGTTGGAGATCACTGTGACAACTGCCCCTTGATGCACAATCCTGACCAGGTAAATAATAAGATTATATGAATGAATAGAGGAAGACTGAGTGATAGCTTAGCCTAATAAATATTTGGCAAATAAATGAATAAATAGACTAAAATGAATGATTTAAAAAAATATGTATATATCCATTATATAACAGATTATGCACAAATATGTTAATTTCATGAAATATGGTACAATCTTTTGCAGTGGTGTTCTTGGATGAAACTTTGTATGCTTGCACAAAGTACTATTGCAGGATTTTAATGGTCATGGACAAAATATAGTGGATTTCCTAGTCCTACATGCCATGACATACACGCACTCACTAAATTCCAACTTTGGACTCAGGTTCCAAATGATGCCTTTCCATAAAGCATTTGAGAATGTAAATGATTACTCTCACAGATGAAAATAATAAGAGACCTTAAACTCATGGTATTTACATTTTCATAGTGAAAAAAAGTCAGCTCTCCACAATGGGTCTTTGTTAAGGCCAATAATCTGAACTGCTCTCTTGATGTTTTCTTTTTTTCTTCCACTAAAATGGGGTTAATGATCTGTCACTTGATCTTGTTAGACTGATGTAGATAATGACCTTGTTGGTGACCAGTGTGATAACAATGAAGACATAGATGAAGATGGTCACCAGAACAACCAAGACAATTGTCCCTACATCTCCAATGCTAATCAGGCTGACCATGATAATGATGGCAAGGGGGATGCCTGTGACTCTGATGATGACAACGATGGCATTCCAGATGACAGGGACAATTGCCGGCTTGTTTTCAATCCTGACCAGGAGGACTCAGATGGTAAGTCTTCTTCAAATGAGGGCAATTCTGTTTTGTTTTTTTTTAATTTTTTGGTGTGTGTGCATGTCTGTGTGCGTGTGTGTGTGTGTGTGATTGTTCATTTATAAGCCAAGAAGTCTGTGTAGAAGTGTTCATGAAAAGCTTTCCAAAGGCAGATAGATATTAATATAATGAAATCATCCTAAAAATTATAGTGGAAAAACACAGTTGTTTTAGATATCATATGAAACTGGACACATAAAATGCTGTTTGCTTCTGCATGACCTGTCTGATACATTGCTGACATGTTGCTGTGTTTGCATTCTTCAACAGATGCTAAACATCAAATGTGTATGTATTTGGCAGTGGGGATAGGTAATGTCAGGGTTTTCATAATTTATAAAGGCTCTGGTGATCGTTGAGAAACAAGTCTCACTATTAGAAGTAGAAAAGGAGATGAACTATTGACCGGAGAAAGATACTTTTTTTTTTCTCTGAGACAGAGATAATGGGAATTGCTAAATTTCTTTTTTATTCTTAATGGGCAAAAAGTATAAATTATAAAAATAGCATAAAGTTCTAATCTCCCATGATGAAAATTATAATTTTAAAGGAGAAGTTAATTTGCATTAAGAAATTATGGGATCTCATAGAAACAAGGAGATTGGGAAAATTGTCTCAATGGCACATGTGACTATGGAAAGCTCTTGGCCATGGCTCTCATTATATAGTATCTAGATGAAGAAATACACAAATGCTTTGATCTGTGGCCCGTGTTAAATCAGGGGTCCCTTCTTTAAATCCCATGCCACTTAAGAGACACATTCTTTCAAGAGCTCATAGTTAGTAATTCCTGGTAACGCCAGCCAATACTCCTAGGAAAAGAGGTATCTCATAGGTAGACAGATTTGCTCAAATTCTGATTTTGGACACAAGGACTCTCCCTATTACTAGTGCAAAGGAATTTGGAGTGGGAGATCCTAGTATTATCATAAGCGTTAAGGCAAACAAGTTCAGGAGCTTACAGCTGTCCAAGATTTGGAGTTTGTCTTGGGATATTACCAAGTGAAATGGTCTTGGAAACTTGAACACAACTCTGGAGAATCTGGTCTCCTTTTCCCAGCAGCTGGATTGCCTCCTTGCATAACATTTAAAGGTCCTAGGATCATAGAATTATAGATTTAGAGCTGTAAGAGAACTTAGAGCTCATCTTGTCTAACCACCTCTTTTTTCATATATTAGGGAACTAAGGGCCAGATAGGTTAAATTACTTTCTTAAAGTCACGTAGGTAATAAATTCAGAGCTGGACTTCAAACTCTGTTCCTCTGATTCCTTATCCGGAACTGTTTTTATTTTAAATCAAGTAAAGACATTTCATTTTTTAAAAAAAATCCTCTCTACATTCTCAAATTTGTGGAATATGATCTGTGGCACGCTGATGCTTTGCAAATTTATGGAAAAATAAAACAAAAACTAAACACATAGAATTAAGACAGAACAATCTTCCTTGTGAGTAAATGAGTTCCTTCTCACTTAAAGTCTTCAGGCAAAGACTGAATGACCTATTGTAGATGGGATGTTTGTTCAGGCATAGGCCTCTGGGGTCCCATTTAACTCCACCAATGCTCTGATTCTCCAATATATTTGGCATAATCTCCTTACAGACAGAGAACTTCAGGAAAAATATGCTTGACCACCAAGACGCTACCTACTTGTGTCCAGAAATGCCATATTGATGGTATTATGGTATGAGTTCTATAGAGCTGAAGTCACTCATCCCATTGTCCCCAAATAGATGGGTTCCTTTACCCAAACTGTTCCTGATAAATTTGCTAAAAATTTTCAAGTAAATAAATCCTAAGTAAATCCAATTCCATAGTTTAATAATTCTGTCTGAAGCAGTAAGCAACAGAAGATTAGGGAAGAAATATTTTGCAAATGGAAAAAAATAGCATTGCTTAAGAGATTCACAACAGAGTAAAGAGTAGAATGCAAAAAACTCCTGTCACACAAACCATCGTTTCAATTTATTCTAAAGTAGAAATTCATTAGTGGTTTTGGGTTTTTTTCTCCCCAATATGTGCCATAAATTTCTGCTGCTTTATTTAGCACATCACCATTTTTAAGGTGGGGATATGTGTGAAAAGATGGAATGAAGTGGAGAGGAGGTAGGGACACTATGATGATTAACACAGTCAGGCTAATTGGTGTGGGAGTCCCAGGACAGGGACTCATAAAAGAATATAGACTTTAAGACTCTATGCAACTCAATTTCAATTTTCAGGACATGTTAATTTACTTTTATTAGACATAGACTGACCAAGCATTGCTATCCTTTTGCTAATCTAGGTTTCTTTCCTTTTTTTTGTACAGGTGATGGAAGGGGTGATATTTGTAAAGATGACTTTGACAATGACAACGTCCCTGATATTGATGATGTGTGTCCAGAAAACAATGCTATCAGTGAAACTGATTTCAGAAAGTTCCAAATGGTGCATTTAGACCCTAAGGGAACAACTCAGATAGATCCCAACTGGGTAATTCGTCACCAAGGCAAGGAGCTGGTGCAGACAGCCAATTCTGACCCGGGTATAGCTGTAGGTGAGTTTCCAAACAAAACATGACACCATTATAGCCTTTGAGTGGATAAGAACCACAGGAGATCTAGCCATTGCTTTGCAAATTATGTGGGTAGTGTTTGGTGTGATATTTTGAGTAATCTCACTGACCAGTGCCATTTAAAATCTTGCTCGCCAGAACATCACCACACCAGGACACGAGCTGTTAATGGTTAGTATCAAGCATGATGTCTTGTATTCTGAAGCATGGTCTTTGGAGTGATCCAGTATAGTACATGCAAAGGGGAGGGCTTACAAGAAAAGCAAGGCATTTACTAATATTCTTAATAGAAGAATAGGTATAGCTCTTTTTTCTTCTTTCTAGAAGGAAATAGGGAGAAAAAAGGGACAATAATGGCTATTCTTTCCTTTGAGATTTGTTGAATTGTTAAATGTACCAAAGTTTCTCCCGACTTAAAGTAGAGGTTGACATTTTTATAGAAATGAAAGCAGCATAGGGTGATTTATATATCCATGATGTATCATGGAGTTTTACATGTTTCTGGATCATTCTAACCCTCCCAAGGGGAGCTAAAAACCTAAATGGCCAAGTTAAGGTTGTCCCTTGAAAATTGGTGAGCAGTGCTAGGGAAGCCAGGATAAAATTGTAAATAGACAGACTTCGTTTAGATAAAATAAGCTTTCAGCAGCGCATACTACTCCAGAAGCATCCTGGAGAGCACAGGAGAGGATAATATGGAATATCATTTCCTGAAGACATCCCTTAAAAACAATATAGAAGCTGATCTCTCTAAAATGGCCCAGATGTCACTTTGTCCTTACATATGGGTACAAGAACCAACGTGGTATAACGGGATAAGTTGCCTATATGGTTAGGGGACCTGGGTCTGCATCCCAGCTTTCATATTCATTTGCTATGCAATCATCAGCAAGTTACTTAACCTCCTGAGCTCAGTTTCTCTCTCTGTAAAAAAGGACTTATTATACATTGCTTACCTTATACAGTTCTTAGGAGAAAAGTGCTTTGTGACTTCTGAAGTACTTTTTAACATGAGTTGTTGTCATCATAGACAAAATTGACCTTTGTATATTTTTTATCCTTTCTCAGCCTCATGATGTTCAACAAAAACAGAGATAAAAACAAAGAAAAACACCAGGAAGCCAAAAACCAGAGTTAAAATCAAGGGCATATGTAGCCTTCCCTGAATTGTCTTGACCTGGAAGGAATCTTCTCTAGCTTTCCAATTCCATAGTACATTGCTTGTGTCTCTATTATAGTTCTTATCATGTGTATGGTTGTTTGCATCCTTATCTTGTCTCTCCGGTGTGCTATAAACCCCTCGAGATCAGGGGCCATACCTTGTTAGTTATCAAATCCTTTTTTAGTACTTAACAGCATCAATCAGGCAATAACCATTTATTAAATGCCTAATAATGGGGGTAAAATAGTACCTACCGCCCAAGAGGACAAAGGACCATAGTAATGTTTTAGTAATTGTTGGACTAATAAATGAAATTAAGGGATCATTCATCTTCATTTGAAATTCTTGCTCCCTGACCACGTGTTTCTCATTTGAATCCAGGTTTTGACGAGTTTGGCTCTGTTGACTTCAGTGGCACATTTTATGTCAACACTGATCGTGATGATGATTATGCCGGGTTTGTGTTTGGCTATCAATCAAGCAGTCGGTTTTATGTTGTAATGTGGAAGCAGGTCACCCAGACTTATTGGGAAAACCAGCCCACCAGGGCTTATGGCTACTCAGGTGTATCGCTCAAAGTGGTGAATTCCACCACTGGGACAGGAGAACATCTCAGGAATGCCTGTGGCACACAGGAAACACAGAAGGACAAGTAAGGAAATTGAAGTCTACGAGGTGTAAGCATTAGTAGGGAGAGCTGGGCACCTGCTTTCTCCTTCAGCTTCTCGGAGTTCCCATTTCTTTTAGAAGCTCCCATTCTGTTCTTGGGACAACTCTTTATTCTACTTATCTTCTAGATGTTAAGCTACACATCTTTAAGAAACTGCATACTACTTTAAAAAGACCAATTAATAAGAGTGACTTTGTATGACTTCCTGTCTCTTTTTAGATGTGCTATTTCTCATGGAAAATGCTAAATAATAGGTATTATATTCACTTGCAACTCTATTCAATGGTATTTTTAAAAAATTTCTAGGTACGTACATTATGGCATGACCCCAAGAATATAGGCTGGAAAGATTATACTGCCTACAGGTGGCATCTAACTCACAGACCCAAGACAGGTTATATAAGGTAAGGCAGGCCACAGTTCTTGCAGTTTCTTTTCTATTTCCTAAGTATAACTTACCTTTTTGTAGTTTTCTTTTTCTCAAAAATAAAAGAGGTAAATTTAAAGATTGATGGATAAATCCACTAATTAATCCTATTTGCCAATTCTTCTCTAGAATCTTAGATTCAAAATATCATTTCTTTTAATCTTCCACCTCTCTATGGTGCCTAGTTTAGTTTAAAGAAATGTCTCTGAAATGTGTGTGTGTGTGTGTGTGTGTGTCCATTGGGTTGGGGGGAGAATGGCAGCACTAACAGTAACTGAAATAGAAAAAAAAAAGTATGTCAAGCAAACTGCAGCTATTCAAACAGTACCAAGTGATCCAATTTGTGAGTAATATACAATTATAGTTAATATAGAAAAGGAAGTCTAAAGGTAACACCAACTTTACCTATGAAATATGAAGATTTGCTTCATTGAAAGAAGATGATTTACTTTCTAACAAAATGTTTACATTTAAACAAAAGTTTTTGAAATCAATTTCCACTAAAAGTTAGGGTGGAGACCAAAGAAGGAAAAAGGGCAAAATGAATAGCATAGTCAGTGATCAGTCAATAATTATCTAAAAATAACAATAATCATAGCTTTTGTATAGTGTTTCAAAGTTTGGAAATATGTGCTATTCTATCTGATTCTCACAACAACTCTACAAAATAGATACTATTATTATTCTCATTTTATAGATGAGGAAACCAAGGCAGAATGAGGTTTAGTGACTTTCCAGGATCATATAGTTAAAAAGAGGCAAATTATTAAATTGTAAAGCACTTAGTACATTTGCTAGGTTTCTATCTAGAATTTAGATTCTTTATATATTCAAATGGAATTTAGGACATTTTATCTTAATAATTCAGAACTTATTAAAGATAATGGACCAATGTGCATGTTTTTCCCTGGTAGGTTAATTTCAACGAACAGAAAAGATTTTTCTTAATTGGAAAAAAAACCTCAATTAATAAAAAGAAACACTTTACCCTGCTTCTCTGTTAATACTTTCCAATCATTAAATGGATGCATAACTTTTGTATACAATTTGCTTTTTTAAAGATGGACAATAGGTTAACTTTTTCGTCTCATTAGCCAAATCCCTGTGCATTGAAATACCAGCCAGAACGCTGCAGTCAGGTTCCTTGGAACACAGATATTTTTCTAACATACTTGGTTATGGTAAAATAAATTAAAAAGAAAAAAGATGATGGGAAATTTGTGACTCATTGGAATCCACTAGTTTGTTTGTTTTTTGATAGCCAAATGCTTCACAGATCTGTATCTGTGCGTCCAATAAATGACATATGATTATTGGCCAAGCAGGAATGGGTAATAGTTTAGGGACACGCAACATTGGTTAGGATGGATAGAAAGCTAAAGCATTTATTAAGCATTTACTACATAGGCACTGTATATAGGCCTACTATAATAAGCACTGTCCCAAGTGCTAGGGATACCAATAAAAGCAAGAAAGAGCATCCCAGAACTCAATGAGCTTATGTTCTAACACAGAAACTAAAAGACTAGGGATTGGGTGGATTATCTTGAAGGGATGGTTTGGAAATGGCAGGGAAGTAATGTAGAGATTTGGTTCCAAGGAAAGATAAAGCAAAAGATGAGTTATCAGAGCCCAGCATTGTAAGGGAAGAGCCCAAATTTCCAATGAGAAGGGGATAAGGAATATGACTGGATGGCAGGCAGTTTATGAAGATGTCTGGGAAGTGGCATGGAGGCTCAGTTCCAGGTCAGATGGTGTGATAACTCTCAAAGGTGATGGTTTAACATTCCTGGACCCAAGACTAAGGATGAAATAAACTTATCACATATTTAGAGTTATTAAAGATGTAATAAAAAGGACACAAGATTCAGATACCAGGATTCAGATCTCATTCTGATACATACTAGCTGTATGACCCGTGGGCAGGTCTCATTACTTCCTGAGCCTCTATTTCCTCATCTGTAAATTGAGATGATAATAGCTATAGTGAGGCAGTGTACCGTAGTGGATAGAGAGCTAGTCTAATATTTATGTCCTATTTCTGATATATACTGGCTATATAACCCTGGTCACTTAGCCTTTTGATGTCCCAGACACCTTTGTAAGTCTATTAACAGGTGCAGAACTGGTGCTGGCCTGAATTGGTAAAGGGAACTTCCTCACCAAATGTTCTCAATAGCAATGAAATCATAGATACTGTTGAAAAATAAAATATGACCGAGTAATTGAGGATCAAATGAAATACCGTGCATAAAACGCTCTGTTGAATCTAAAGTGAGGTGAATATCAATTACAATCACTGTAAGCTGCCCCCGATATCAAATGAGATAAGATGTGTAAAGTGCTTTGCATGCATAACTCAAAGCACTCTAGAAATGTACTGTACAAACACTAGCTATTATTAATACATTTGTGCACATTCTCTAGAAAGCTAATTGCACTTTTATTGTTTCTTTTCCAACAGAGTTTTAGTACATGAAGGGAAGCAGGTTATGGCAGATTCAGGAGCAATCTATGATCAAACCTATGCTGGGGGACGGTTAGGTCTTTTTGTCTTCTCTCAAGAAATGGTCTTTTTCTCAGACCTCAAATATGAATGCCGAGGTAAGTTTTGGTGAACTTTCCTTTGGAAGCAGTTGGCTCTCCCAGAGGAACAACTTTAAGTTGCAAAGCAGTGCCAATTTGCATTGATAGTTAGAGTTTCCTCCTTGGAGTATACTATGTTAATGAAATCACAGGTGAAGTAAAAAAAAATATGAGTATACATAAAGTCCTCCATGTTGTCTAATGGACATCTGGGGATCTATGCTACATAATGAGCTGTGACTAAGTCACTATACGACGTCCAGACCATCTACAAACCCATGATGAGTTAAAAAAGAAGTGCCTTTTCTCCATGTAATATATGTATTGTGAATTAAAACCTTGGAGAGAGGAATCTTATAGACAGAAGGTGATGGCCTTTTAACATCTAGTCACAGTGAATTATGACCTCAAATGCTATAGCTAGAACAGATTTCAAGAGTCAAAGTCCCTGTTCAAACACATAAGAACTTTTTAGAGAGGAGATGAGACACCTGAGGGTCAGAGAATTGAAGATGATTGAGGTCGGAGTTAGTTAGAGGTAGAGGGAGAAGAGCTAGACTCCTTGACTTCTCTCTCTCCTTGTGCTCACTCTCTTTCCTTTACATCAAGCTGTCTCTCAAAATAGCTTCAAGCATTTTCCCCATAAACATGTGTATGTCTATTCTGTGCGAGTAATTGTGCTACTGCAGTATAACCTTTCACACAATTTGAACTTAAGAAATTGCAAGTCACTTAACTTTCCTGGGGCTTATAAAATGAACCAATTGAATTACTGAAGGTCCTCCCAGCTCTCAGTCTATGACCTTATGTTCTTACAATCAAGTCTTCCTCTCTCTTACAGATAAGGCAATGTGTCCCAGAGGGGCAAAGTCAATTGCCTAAAGGTAGCTAATGTTACTCTCCTAGTATTCATTTTACCTCTTTTTCTCCCTGCAGATGTCTGAGTGAGGGATGCTGCCTTTCCAGCAAAGTACTGTATGTGCTGTGTTTAACTTAGACACTTCAATTCATCACGGTACTTCCAGCTCCTCTCTCTGTGTCTCCTTCTTCTTCAGTTCCTTGGACCTTTCCTCTGAGCAGCCTTTCACCTCTCCATTCCCAGGAGTTGCTCAGCCAATTTTATGCCCAAGTGCCTTCTGAGAAGTAATAGCAAAAGGATCCTAACACAAGTGGCCAATGTGCCATAGAAGCAAAATATGATAGTTAGACGCTTTCAGCAGAGTGAAAACATTGAGTACGACTATGCATTTCACTGTTTTTGTTTGTTTGTTTTACAAGGATGACGTTTACATGTAAAGTGTAATTACTTAATATATTTATGTATATGTAGCTGAAGAGGATCCTGAATATAAGCCATGTCTTAAATTAAGCAGGAAAATGAGTGCTAAATCACTTCTCAATCCAGGAATGGCCTACATGAATACATTAGCCAAGAGTGAATAGGAGTTAAATCAAGTGTAGTGCTGTAATAGTAAATAAATAGTTGAGGGGGGTGGAGGTATAAGGGTCACAGAAACCAGCATAACATGTCCTCCAACTTATTGGGGGTGTTTTTGGGGAGAAAAACCCACAAATAACCAAAACAACCCACACATTCAAAGGGCAGCTTTCCACATCAAGACCAGGAAATAGCTTGCAGAGGAGATCTAGCAATAAGGCCTCATTTGTGACAGTGTGAAAGGCTAGGTTCTATAGGATGTGAGAAGAGCCCACACAGTAAAAATAAAATCAGTGTGTGAGATAACAAAGCAGAGTGCCCCAACTGGAGCCTCACACTATTGTAATCTTTCTTCTTTTGTTTGCCATTCCCCAATTTCTTGTGGGTTGTTGTTGTTGTTTTTCCCCTCCGATCCATTTTCCAGATCTCTGCTGCTGAAAAATGTAAAAACAAAAGATAAAAAAAAAAACCAAACCAAATGCACTTTGACATGTGAATCCTGATCTGGGCTTTGCAAATGATGACAATGTTACTGTTACCTAGCTTGGTAACACATTAAATTAAGGTTCCAGTTATAAATGTTTATTAATATTTATTAGACGATTATCAGATGCAGCTACATTCTCTAATAACTTATTTTAAGCATGTCATATGTTGCCTCTGTAGTACATTTTTTTGAGAAATATAAGTATAATGACTATATGGCATTGTGTACATACTGCTAAAACAATGTATGTGCCTGTCAAAATACATGGCTTGATAGTATTCATTTGTCATATAGAATGCTATAGATTATCATAGGATGAAAAAAATCATAACGAAGAGTTTATAAATGGAACCTTAATATATATAGTTACCCCCAATTTTAATTCAGTATTTCATATTATTATCTGCCTGCTGTACGTAGGATGTTTTCTTGATTGAATATTGAAGGGAAACCAGCATTTAGTCTAACCAGATCCACCAGTTAATCAGTTATTCATTAATATAAAAATGTTCAATATCTTTTTTTCCCCTTTTCATTAAGTTGCATGTAGTTTCTGCACAGGAAATACTTGCTAATCAAGCTTCACATATGGACTTTTCTAAAGGAAAAACTTTCTCTTACCTGGCCCTGGACAAATTCTCTCTGTCCCTGTCTTTTTCTTTCCAATGGAAATTTATTCCTATAGCAATAAGAAATAATCCACAGCTTTTGACATTGTTGCACATTTTATTGCCTTTTCATATCAGCAACTTTTAAAAAAACGCTTCTGGTGATTACTTTTATTGTTGTTTTGGATTTGTAATGTTTTCAGTCTTTCTCAGTTCATGCTTCTGGTTTTTGGAACTGTATCCCCAATTCCAAGTAAGGGTGGGGGAGACTTCATTAAATGTCACAGTTGTCATGGCCGTGTAGGATTTTGGTTATTGGGAGTTGTTTGATTGAAACAGTACATCAGTGTGAGACAATGATGTTAATATTTAGACTGTACCATATTTTCCTTTGTAAATTATTTATGATGTTTTTCTTTAAAAAAAAAAATCCTTCTTGTCCAGATTGATGAAACTGCTTTGTTTTGCCAAAGAATGTAAATAATTATTTATTTGTTTACATGGACAAAATTTTACCATTGAAGTCCTTCATTTAGCTAGAGACTCATTTTTATACTTTAAAGATTAATAATGAGAAATAAATTGTAAAAAGGTTTTATATAAAAGCTTCTCTCTTCACCTTTTTTTTATAAATTGAAAGGACTCCTGTTTTGGGAGAGTAGAAAGAGGAAAAAAGAATCAAACAGAAAAGAACTTTTTTAACTCTGTTACCTAAATATGCCTGTTGCTCGGTTACAGGCTGCCTCAAATATATTCCTCAGAGGGCAAACTATAGGTTTTCTGGTCCCTTATGGAGACACTCTTCTTCTGCACAGGTCTCATATCATCCCACAGAACCTCCCAGCACTGTTTATGATCCAGTCAGTTAAAAATTTACCCCTGCTGCTTCTTGTCATTGTCAAACAAAGCAAGGAGCAGATTTTTTATAGTGGATATTGGCAAGCATAAGGAGAGTGATTCAGACAAATTCAATAACACAAGGGACACCCCTCACTAATACAAGCTGTACTTGACTTGACCCAATCAGACACTAAGAAAAGCAAAAAGGATCACATTTTCTAGGCAAAGAAATTTGAAATCTTATTGTGCAACCAAAAAAAAAACCCAACCCAACAACACCCAAGCATTTTAAGAAAATAACAACATGGTAACTTAGTGTAGTAGTCCCCAAAGGCTCCTCCTCATATTTTTTAGACAGACTATGATGAATTAGGAGGAAAACAAGAGGTTGGGGGATGGAGGAAGGAAAGAAATATGAGAGGGAAAGAGAGAGAGAGAGAGAGAGAGAGAGAGAGAGAGAGAGAGAGAGAGAGAGAGAGAGAGAGAGAGAGAGAAAGGAGAGGAGAGGAGAGAAGGACAGGAGAAAAGAGAAGAGGAAGGGAGAGGAAGAAAGGAGATGGGAGAGGAGAGGAATCAGAACAAAGGTAGAGTGGGAACAGAGAGGTAGAGGAGAGAGAAGGACGGAGTACTAGAGAGGTTGAGGAGAGAAGATAGAGTGAGGGGAGACATAGAGAAGAGCAAAAAAAAAGGAAAGAGAGGAGAAAGGAAGAAAATTGAGATTAAAAGAGGAAGAAAGAATGGGACATAAATAATGTAAAAACAAACCAAATATATTCAGTTGAAAACTTATGTTAGCTACATCAGCACTCAATCCAACAATGAAACACTAAGATAGAATATGATCATTCTTTTTTATTTTTTAAAATTTTTTTGGAGGAGGGAATGTCTTTTTATTTTTTTTTTCAACTTTAGGAAGTTTTTTTTATTCTTAATTCATTTTGATTTATCAACAATCACTTCTATAAGCTTTTGAGTTTTACATTTTTCTCCTCCTCCCCAAGATGGCTTGCAATCTGGTGTAGGCTATACATATACATTCCTGTTAAACATATTTTCACATTAGCGATGTTGTAAGTAAGAATTAGAACTGATAGGAGGAACCATCAGAAAGAGGAAACAAAATAAAACAGAAGAAAAAAAAAGCAAATAGTATGCTTCGATCTGCATTCAAACTCCATTGTTCTTTCTTTGGATGTGGATAGCATTTTCCATCATGAGGTCTTTGGAGATGTCTTAGATCATCATGAGACCTTTGGAGATGTCTTAGATGAACACGATCATTCTTGATGGCAAGTGCTGAACCCAAGGCCCTAGTGATAGCAGTAGTTACAAAATATGTAGGGTTTATTGTCTAAGGTGGTAGTGAAAAAAGGTGAGGATCATATTATCATTGACTTAAAGGTGAAATAGTCTTAAAATATACTAAGAAACTTATAATAATCTAAGAAACTTATCCAGAATATTGTGGAGAGGACTGTTTGTCAGGTAGAGTACTGACTCTGATATGACCTCTGAGGTCCCTTACAGATCTGAAATTCTCCTATTCATTTATTCAGTCAATCAATCAATAAACATTTATTAAGGACCTACTATATATCCACACTGGGCTAGGAGACAAAGGAAAATTAATGTATCTGTTCTCATTATCAAGGAATTTACATGCAAATTAAGGAGACAGGCGTATATCAGTATATACACTATATATATGTATGCACACACACCTACAAGTCATTTTTTTTTTAGGGTGCAAAGGGAATATTTGGAAAGGCTTCATGTGGGTAATGGTGTGATGGGACTGATCTTTGCAGGAAGCTAGGGATTTGAAGAAGTGAGGAAGGAACACATTTCAGGCCTGAAGAGCAACCTATGTGAATGTATGGAGATGGAAGATGTAGCATCGTATCTATGGATCAACAAAAAGTCTACTTCAGCTGGACCACCAAATGCATGAAGAGGACAAATATGTTAACAAACCAAGAAAAGTAGGTTGGAATCACTTCGCAAAAGGTTTTGTCAAACAGAAGTATTTGTTTTTGATCTGGGGTCAGAGGTGGTGAGGGGCAATAAGGAGCCACTGGAGCTTTTCGATCATGGCAATGGTATAGTTAGGCCTGCATTTTTTGAATATTACTTGACCTGTGATGGATTGGAGAAGAGAGAAATTAGAAGAAGAAAGAACAATTAGGAGGTGATTGTATTAATCTAAGCGAGAAGCGAAACATCCCCACCTAGGGTGATGACCAAGTGAGCACAGCTAAAGGAATGGATGGTGAGGGATGTTATGGAAGTAGAATTGACAAGGTTGGGCAGCAGATTAGATATATGGTGGGGAAGCAGTGAGGAATTCAGGATGACTCAAAGATTGCAAACCTGAGTGATTAAAAGGTTGGTGGTCTCCTTCACAGAGATAAGGAAATTCAGGAGAGGGGTGGGTTTTGGGGAAAAGATGATGAGCTCTGTTTTTGGATATGATGAGCATGAGAAGCCTACAGCACATTAGTTTAAACATTTTCAAAAGGAAATTAGTGAGGCAGGATGAATTTCAGTGATCCTCTGATATGACTCTACAAGACTCACGGAGCCCTGCCAGGAGACATTTGGATGGGACTTAACATGAAAGTACTAAAAGAAACAATAATTTTAGGGAAATCATTTAGCTATACATGAGGGCTGTAGGTGGCTAGGTCTAAACATAACGGCTCCATCTCCTCTCTCTCTCTCTCTCTCTCTCTCTCTCTCTCTCTCTCTCTCTCTCTCTCTCTCTCTCTCTCTCTCTTTTCTCTCTCTCTCTGTCTGTAAAATGTCAAGGGTGAGTTATGGTTTCATTGGGACTTTCCCAGTGATAACTATAAACAATTCCTCCTTAGGGAAACTTTGAGTGAAGGTCACTGGCAGACAACTGTTTTGAGAAGTAATACTGTTCTCGCTTGAGGTTCATCAAATATGTTCTGTTATTTCAAGAAGGGGCAGAAAGAACACATTCATAGATATACAAGGCTTGTTTAAAAATAAAAATGCTAATGATTTCAGTTAGACTTGTGAGCCAAAATAAAATTAGAAGGCTACCTCCCAAAGGACATGAGATTAAAAATTCTCAAAAGATTCAATGTTTAGAGATGTCCATCAGCTGTCCCTCAGGCAGCTGTTGCTAGTTAAAGCTGTAGGCACCCAGCCATTGGGAAAATAAGGTAGTTCCTGCTGTAGGTCTGGTTGGGAAGGTTCTATTTAGTTCTGGAGAACCCTAGACCAGCTCCAGACTAGGTCAGGTCACTTGAGGACACCCTAGACTGACTCTCAGTCTAGGGATATGGACCACAGGATGTACCAAATGGCCTAGTGACTTTTGCTCTGCCTTCCCGTGAAATTCCCTGAGTACTCAAATGGTTTATCATGCTTCTGGAATCCTGCCAGTGACTTGCAACTTGTAAAACTAATTGATGCAACTGAAATCTGTTTCTTTTGTAGGTAAATTCAGAGGAATTTAATAGGTGGTTTCTTGTTTTAATTGGATAAGTGAAAATGTATTTATCTAGCACTTATTAGGTGCTACTAACCATGAGGATACCAAGACAAAATGATATAGTCCCTGCCCTCAAGGATCTTTCATTCTATTGGGAGAACACATGTGATATGGTGGTGGTGGTGGTGGTGGTGAGGGAAGAGAGTTTTTTTTTCCTTTGTTTTGTTTTCCTCTGTGAAGTTATAAAGAATGGTGAATATAGCCACAGGGCAGTCACTTGTCATACATTCTCTAGAAGTAGTGGTAATATTAATTGATTCTTACTTCCAAAGCAAAAGGTAACAGTGAGAGGTGACTCTAGGGTGAGGGTATGTGGTCCAGCAGTGACAATGGCAGAGTGTCCTATGGTGTCTGGGGCAGATAGTTGTGAAGCCTAGTCTGGGACTAGCCAAGGATGTGGCTCATATGGCACTGTTCTAGAGGGGCATATGTGTGTGTGTGTGTAGGGTGGAGTTGGGGGAGAAAGAGGCAGATGCAACAGTAAGGCAAATGGCAGATATGTCAAGACATCCAGGGTGGATGGATATAAACATGGTCTAGGGCTAAGCAGATATAGTAATTTTAGGTGAATTTACATTTACTCATTGGCTAATCAAACTCAGCCCTGAGAAAGAGTTTCAATGTGAACAGATTAACTCACCTGGGAAGGAGGCATGTCCTCCAGTCCAGAGGGTGCTATTTCAGGATGGAAGAAGGGGAGGAACAGCAGAAGGGAGTATGTCAAGTTGTCTCAAGAAGTCACCTTCCTCTGGAGTTCAATGAAACTGTAACTAAATAGGTATTATTATAGAGTAGATTCAGAGAAGAAAATAGTAAGGTCAGCTCTTTGCATAAACGAACAAAGGTAAGAAAATAGATTTGGACTGAACCAAATCATTGGAGTAGTAAGAGAAGTCTGAGGGACTTCCCGTTTAGTGCTCTACTAAACTCACGTATT